GCCTGAATTAAATAAATAAATTATAGCTTCCTCTAAAAAACTTGTTCCCAAACTATATTTACGTACACAGAATATATTTAAATTCAAATAAATAACAATCTCAACACAAGTGGATAACGTCTTACGCAATTTATAACCAGAGAACGGGAGTTAGCGCCGGAAATGATGTTTAATAGAATAAAGCAGTCCAACAAATTACCGCTGTGCCATAATAACATGGTAATAGTTCGGGAGGTAAATCATTGGCCTGTCTTATAAATGGTGACCAACTATTCGAACATACTAGGACGTCTCGCCTATAAATATTTATTCTTAATTAATATTATTATATAATTGGTATTATTATTTTGACATTGTTATTTTAGATTTAGATTTAATTTTGTATTTTGAAATTCGACACAATAATTACTGTTATGAATAAATAAATAAAAATATTGTGGCCAAATTATCTAGAATATACGTAGGACGTCTCGCCTATAAATATTTATCTTATATTATATATTAATTAATTATTTTTATTAATTAATTCAATTATTATATAAACTATTAAAACATTGTTAGTTTAGATTTAATCAATTTTGACCATTGTCCTTCAAAACAAAATTATTGGAATGGCCACCCTTATATTATATATAATTAATTATTTTTATTAATTAATTAATAAAAATAGTGGGGGCAGTTACCGTTTAGAATATACTTAGGACGTTCGCCACAGAATAAAATAAGTAGATCTTATATTATATATAATTAATTATTTTTATTAATTAATTAATATTATTATATAATGTATATTATTATCTGACATTGCTATTTTATATTTAGATGTAATTTTGACCTACGTGGTTTTAGAAACCATCGTGATAATTCTTGTTTTGAATTTGTCACGATAGATAAATAAAAATATGCTCATCTCATCATCCTCCACTGGTGCCCCGCCAGCGTAATCCGTTAACGCAGGTGGGTGCACCATTTCATTATCATCCATAAAAAAAAAAGATACTGTTGGCCGCATCTGGCCTTTACAGCTTCACCGGACGATAGGGAGCGAGTGCAGATGGCACTCCAAACCAAGGAAGGACTTATGGCCAACTCCCGACTGACGGATTCGACTTTAATCTGAGGCCTCGCTAGGGGTTCGAACTTCGTCTCAGGCCGTCGTAATTTTGATCCCCATTTGAATTGGACGGGGAATCGATCGGAGAGCTACTAGAAATAATATGGAGACGTTTTTTTTCTGACTACTCTAATGCTGTTAGCCGCAGCTGGCCTTTACAGCGATACGATAGGGAGCGAGTGCAGTTGGCACTCCAAACCAGCGGAAGGACTTATGGAGCGGCTGAAGGCCAACTCCCGCCTGACGGATACGACTTTAGTCTAAGGGCACGCTACGGGTTCCAACCTCAGCTCAGGCCGTTGTAATTTCGATCGATTTAAAAGAACAATACATATGACGATGTATATAGAAGAGCGGGATCTACCTGACACAGACATTGCTTTGCTTACTAGGTCATCCCAACACTCTGTTATTGTAATTCAATTGTTTTTAAAGGAATAAACATTTTTTCTTTTTTATTTCATTTTTAAACGTATATCTCATATACAAAATTCTCGTGTTATGTTAGTTACCATACTCCTCCTATACGGCTTGCCCGATTTTTATGAAATTTTATATGCATATTCAGTAGGTCTGAGAATTGGCTACTATCTATTTTTCATACCCCTAAGTGTTAAGGGTGACTCACCCAAAAAAAAAATTTTTTTTTTTTACATAATATTTTATTTTTATATAGGATTGAAAAATACATACAACCCTAAGTTTGCACTCTTCTAGCATCAACCCCTATTTTTAATTTATATGCCAAAACAACGTTTGCCGGGACATCTAGTTTTTATATAATAACTAGCTTTTGCCCGCGGCTTCGCTCGCGTTTATTTATCCCGTTGGGGGTAGAATTAATAAAAATCCTTTATTAGTAGTTGCCTACGTCATAACATCTACCTGCATGCCAAATTTCAGACCGATCCATTCTGTGGTTTGGGCTGTGCGTTGATAGATCACTATGTCAGTCACTCACCTTTGAGTTATATATATTTAGACTGAAAATACATACAACCCTAAATTTTCACCCTTCTAGCACCAACCCCAATTTTTTAACAGCGATTTTAATGTATATGGCAAAACAACGTATGCCGGGACATGTAGTTTTTATATAATAATAATGTTATTATGACCTTTCTGTCGACCTCTATATTCTGTGGCCGCTTCCGTTAGAATACAACCTACCAGATTGAAACTTTACTCCGCGCTGTTTGTTTAAAACCTTATTGCGTTTCCGTCCTGGGCGGGAGTTAATTAAACGTTTGCTGTGGTATGACTGCCTTTTTAACCGACTCCAAAAATAGGGGGTCCCAAATTCAATTGTTTTTTTTATTTAATGTTTGCTCCGTCGTTTATGATCCGATTTTTTTATTTGAAAGATTAAACTTTCAGATTGGTTTCTAGGAGTTTTGTTGTTACCATTTGTATTGTGTAATACATACACGATTATACATACAATAATTAATAATTATATAAACAATTGATAATATAATTAACTAAAAATTTGTACGCTTGATATAAGCAGATTTTGCAAGGGCCATGTTTTTGTATAACATCATATATGTATGTACCCAAAATCTATTTCAAATAAATTTATTATTTTTTTTTTTTTTCCAAAAATTCTCATCTCCCCTCTTAAGGAGAGGAGATGGCAACATACCCCCGGCAGCAGCACAGTCGGCCGGAGTTCAGGGCCCCAGGGAGAGAAACCGGCTTATTATTTATTATTATTATTATATTTAAAATGTACTGTAGCTATGTACTGGCTGTACTCGCCACTTTGTCCGCGTGGAATTTAACTTTATTTTTCTAAAAATAAAAGTAGCCTAAGTTACTCCTTTTTATATCAGCTACCTGGCAAAACAAGTCCCGTCGTCTGTCCACCCATTTCAGTGATTAGCCGGAACAAACAGACAGACAGACAATAATTGTAAAACTGTTATTTTGGTGTATGTACCGTATTTATATTCATATGTAGTAAAAAACGGTTATTTCAATATTACCAACAGACACTCCAATTTTATTTATATGTATGTATAGATTTAAGGTTACACGATATGGTTAAGATATTGTTATAACGATATTGAATTTTTGATATAGTGGAATAAAAAAAAAGTGCTTTGAATAAAATCTGCTGTCTTTCATCATTATTTGTCAATTTCACGTACCTACTATTATTCTAGACTTACGTATATTCTTCTATTTTCTATTTTGTATAATCGTTTCATATTATTGATATTATAATAGCAGCTAGCTGTTCCCGCGACTTCGTCCGCGTGGAATTTAACTTTAATTTTCTAAAATAAATGTAGCTTAAAGAACTAAAAAATATTTTGATCGTCTTAATCTATTCGTTCCATTAGGTACTGATAGGTTAAAACTAATACATTTGCATCCTGCATCATCCCTTATTTTATCCCCATGGGGGTTGAATTTATCAAAATCCTATTTAAGCGAACGTCTTCATCATAGTAGCTCCAATGTTTAATTCAGTTCAATCAGTCGAAAATTTATGAAGATTTATACAAACTTTCATCCCCTATTTTATCCCCTTGGGGGTAGTATTAATCAAAATCGTTTCTTAGATGCCTATGTCACAACATTTATTTGCATGCTAAATTTCAGCCCGATCCGTCCAGTGGTTTGGGCTGTGCGTTGATAGATCACTATGTCAGTCAGTCACCTTTGATTTATATATATTTAGATAATACCTCTAGACAATGAACCCAGCGCCATCTAGTCTCAAGTTAAGCAGAGCTTGTGTTATGGGTACTAGACACCTGATATATATTGTTACTTTAATATACTTTTTTTACATAGAAAACATCCAAAACTATACAAACAATCATACTCATGAATACAAATATTTGAACCTTGCCAGGCAAAGAACTCGCGACCATTGGAAGTAATGTGGTATGCAAAATCGTTAGACTGAGGCTGCTGCTAGACCTATGGTATATTAAGGTTTTCTTTCTTCCTTCCTCCTAATATCGAAAATCACAGAAGAAAAAAAAAACAGTTATGGACAGACCTATGTAATAAGCTTTATATTAAGGTTTTCTTTCTTCCTTCCTCCTAATATCGAAAATAACAGAAGAAGAAAAAACAGTTATGGACAGACCTATGTAATAAGCTTTATATTAAGGTTTTCTTTCTTCCTTCCTCCTAATATTGAAAATCACAGAAGAAGAAAAAAACAGTTATGGACAGACCTATGTAATAAGCCTTATATTAAGGTTTTCTTTCTTCCTTCCTCCTAATATCGAAAATCACAGAAGAAAAAAAAACAGTTATGGACAGACCTATATAATAAGCTTTATATTAAGGTTTTCTTTCTTCCTTCGTCCAAATATCGAAAATTATAGACAAAAAAAAAACATTGATGGACAGACCTATGTAATAAGCTTTATATTAAGGTTTTCTTTCTTTCCTCCTAATATTGAAATTCATAGAAGAAAAAGAAAACAGGTATGGACAGACCTATGTAATAAGCTTTATATATATTATCTTTTATCACTCTATTTAGCTTTTATATAGAATAGAGTGATTCTCCCAAATTTGAATTTTAATAACTGTATTTATCACAAACATGTTCCACTATTATTTGAAAAAAATACGAGCTGAGTTTCTTGTCAGTTCTTCTCATCTCGATATCATTCCGAACTGACGGTAGATTTGACATATCATAAGACTCTGTAATAGGCCTACATGAATAAAGATATTTTGAATTTGAATTTGAATTTGAATTAAGGTTTTCTTTCTTCCTTCCTCCTAATATCGAAAATCACAGAAGAAAGAAAAAACAGTTATGGCCAGACCTATGTAATAAGCTTTATATTAAGGTTTTCTTTCTTCCTTTATCCTAAGATGTAAGAAAAAAAAACAATTGATGGACACTAACCCAGAGCGGCGCGGAGGGCTGCAGCTGCGAGGCGAACGCCATTCGGAAAGCATTTCCCACCAGAGAATTCAGTTCTTCCGCCTGTAAACAAATAACAATATTTAATTAACATCCTTAATACACATATAATTTAAAAAAAAATACCAATCAAATACAAATCAAGTTTTTTTTTTATTAATTTACCAAAAAAATACAAATCAAGTTTTTTTTTTATTATTCTAATGGTTTACAGCGACTTTCACTTGTAGATACACACTTGCCTCACAGTACATTTATGAAAATATTATGTATACAAGGAAAAACTTAGATAGTTTCAAGAAACTTAAAGACTGTACAAGTAGAAACTTACGCAATAAAAATAAGCTAATTTTACCGAAATGCCGTCTACACAAAGTTAGTAATTCATTTTATGGTAATTGCGTAAGATTCTATAATAAACTGCCAGAGTCTACGCTAAATCTGACAGAGAGGCAATTCAAATCTTATATTAAACAAATGTTATGTAAAAAAGCCTATTATAAGATAGATGAATTTATAAATGATAGCAATATATAGCAAGAATAAGTTTATTGTGGACAACGTTATAATTTCCTCATCCTCATGTAAAGTGCGAATACTGTAACTACCATATAGTAATTTTTGTAGCTGTGCACGTCACAGCTACAAAATATATCGTAATGAGTAGTCATGCTCACTAAAATGTTTAGACACGTGGCGGCGTGGTGGGTCGGGTCATTGGGCTCCCTAAAATATGGTCGAGCGCAGTGATGGCTGGCTCATCCGTCATACTCGTGAACGAGTGCTGCTTGTAGGGACTGGTCTACTCTTATCACTACGACTGATTTAATAATATTGCGTATTTATATTTGACCCAAAAAATTAGTGCTTGTTGGTAGTTTGTATTCACACGTTTCGACTTCTAAATGTAAACTTACAAGGATTATTTAAAAGAGCAACACACAAGTTTCTTGCTCGTTCTTCTTGTGATGAGACAGCTTTCCGAACGAGTTGTAGATAAAATACAAATTGTTATGACTATTCAAAAGTGCTTAAATTAAGTTTATTTGAATAAATGATTTTCAATTCTATTCTAGATAGTACAAAACATGGTCGAGCGCAGTGATGGCTGGCTCATCCATCACTCATGAACGAGTGCTGCTTGTAGGGACTGGTCTGCTCTTATCACTACGACTGATTTCCTCTAATTTAGTTGTTTAACCAGTTGGTTGTATATTTACTACTTTTTCTATTTGAGAATTTAATTGAATTAGTGCTAATTGGTAGTTTGTATTCACACATTTCAAACTTAAAATGTAAAGGAACAATGAAATTATTTAAAAGAGCAACACGCAAGTTTCTTGCTCGTTCTTCTTGTGATGAGACAGCTATCCGAATGAGCGGTAGATTGAAAAAATGTGATGACTATTCAAAAGTGCTTCAATGTACATAAGTTCATTTGAATAAATGATTTTCTATTCTATTCTATTCTATTCTATGGTTACTGTTAAAAAGAATAACTTAGGCTTGATATTAGAAATTGTATTTGATTTATAAAAAAAAAAATCTACGCGGGCAAAGTCGCGGGGAACAGGTTACTTATAATCCTCTTCTCCAGATCTTGTAGACGTCTTACATTATTAAGCAAAACTCATATTTTGCTTAGACTCTATATTTAACTATAATATATGTCCCGGCAAACGTTATTTCACCATTTAAATTATTGTCGCTAATAAAAATAGGGGTTGATGGTGAAAGTGTTGTATGTATTTTTTATATTAAAAAAAAATAAAAATATCTAGTAATAAAGAATATGTTTTTTGGGCTAAGTCACCCATTCCCAGAGTCATCATCATCTGCTTCTTCCTTATCCCATTTATTTGTGGTCGTCGTAATATGTTTTTCTCTTCCATTCATCTCTGTTCACAGTCATCTCGTTATTTACTCCCTTTCTCACCATATCATCTTTCACACAGTCCATCCATCTCTTTTTCGGTCTTCCTCTACCCTTACAACCATACACATTCCTTAGGATATGATCTTCATTCCTACGCATTACATGTATACATATAAAATTTTATCAAAACTGGTTCAGTAGTATAGGAATCTACTGCGGACAAACAACGTGACAAGATTTTTTTATATATTAACATTTGTGATTGACAGACTAAATATACACGCGCCTGTTTCGGTGAGGTTTCTCATTTTGTTAATCATATCATTAGTACGCAGCGATACAAGTAAACAGTTGTGTTGATCCAGCCAATAACCAACTTGTAGTAAGGTTAATTCCCTCAAATAAACATAAAACTAAGACGTGACTCACCACAGCATTCATTTGAGCGAGAGGAATGGGGTTGTTAGTAATGTGGACCAATCAAGGTACAGACATTGTCGATTATATAGGGTGACATAGCTGGAATCGAGTCACAACGCGAGTTTCAAGATGCTCATGGCCCGGGTTCCTACCGACATACTGTCTATCAGGAAGGAGGACTACCGGCCGAAGGTGGTATATCGGCGAGATAAATAAACAAAAACCCTATTGTTAACACTGTACCATGTCAGTTTAACCTCCAAGCAGGTGCCAGATAGGCTTCATGCTCATTTTATGATAGTGCAGGCGGTTGCACCATTCCATTATCATCTATGTTTGCGCCATTTATAAACATATCAAGAGGTATGGTATTATTCCCCATATCCTCATCCCTTTCCCGCGCACAGTATGTCAACTGAGGTTGCCTGACGACCTCGTCTACTAACGTGAATGGTGACATCTCGTCCCAACCGCTCCGCTTTAAATTAATTAATATAATATTGACATTAACAATAAGTAACTTTGTGTGCGTGCCTGTGTTAAACTTAGTGTTCATCGAGTGCAGCAGCTGTGCAAGAATAAACCCGCTCTACAGTCGCAGGTACGTACTGTGGATCCCCCTTTATTTCATTCAATACAGTCCACTTACCTTATCCCGCTATCCCCCATTTCTCCAATCTATATAAAAAAAATCTGGATTTGATCACGACTTAGAGTTGCATTTATTTTTATTTTAGTTTTATTTATTTATTTATTTATTTATTTATTTGAGCGACCAACAAGACATTCACTATGAGGTTACAATTATTATAAGTTGCAAAGAGTTCAGGTATATAGTGTTGACTTAATTATCACGGCATGCTTAGAGTTTATATTTATATATGTATACAATTATTATTATTTTTTTTTTTTATTATTATTATATATATTTTTTTTTATATATCATATATTTATATATGTATTTATATTATATTTATATATTTATATATTTAAATTATTCATTTAGATATTTCTAAGATTAAGTATAGCTAATTTTTACATCTAGCTATCCCACGTGATACATGTACATTTAGCATTACCTATCGGCTATAATTTTCATGACAAAATGAATCACCAAAATTGACAAATAAAGATATATTTTTGTATCAAACTTTTTGATTGGTACTAAAGTTAAATTTGTTTTAAGGTTGTTAGAATTTTTGTCTGAACTTTTGTAAATGAATGTTGTTTTATTACGATGTTCATAAGCGACTAAAATGTCCTAGATACATGATAAATAATTTTTGATTTGATTTGACTTGATTTGAATGCAAACAAAAAAAATACGCATTTTAGTTATTACTAGCTGTACCCGCGACTTTGTCCGCGTGGCATTTAACAAAAAAATTAATTTGTTTATTTAGTTTTTAAAATAAAAGTAGCCTAAGTTACTCCTTATTACATCAGCTATCTGCCAATAAAGTCCCATCAAAATCTCGCCAGCCATTTCAGAGATTAGCCGAAACAAAAATTGTAAAAATGTTATTTTGGTGTATGTACCGCATTTATATTCATATGCATGTACTAAAAAACGGTTATTTCAATATTAGAAATAGACACTCCAATTTTATTTATATGTATACATGTATAGATAAATAAAACACAATGTTATATATTGTAAGTGTGTATAAAATGTTTTTACAGCCGACTTTCAAGACGGGGTTTAAGCGGATAAGCGTTTAAGTCAAAACTTGCCGACGCGACGGTGCAACCGCTATCGTTTAACTTCGACAACTTTAACTTAAACTTGAGACATAAAAGTTTATCCTAACGCCTACTCAACAACGCACATTGTTACCATTTTATATTTCCTTTATTGTATGAAAATGTTATAAGGACTAACTTAGGCTTTTTATTTCACAAAATATATACTTTTCTATTCAAAGTCAAATTCAAAATATCTTTATTCATGTAGGTCTATTACAGACTCTTATGATATGTCAAATCTACCGTCAGTTCGGAATGATTTTGAGATGAGAACAACTGACAAGAAACTCAGCTCGTATCCTTTTCAAATAAATGTTATACATGTTTACAATAATACAGTTTCATTTTTAAATTAAAACTTGGAAGAATAGGGAGACCACCAGCATATGCTATTGCAAAAGCAAATAGTCTAATCAGTGTTCGCAACCCAAACAGACCAGTCCCCACAGGCAGCACCCGTTCACGAGTATGACGGATGAGCCAGCCATCATTGTACTCAACCATATTTGAGGGCGCACATCTGAATCTGCGACCAATTAAAGTAAGGCGGACTTTTTAGTATTCCGTGGATTCAACGACCGGGAGCCGAATCCATCGTGCGGCAGAGGGGGTAACTCCGAGCAGTTCCCGGGACTTGTGACCAGAGTATAGGTATAAGGGGTCAATGTACTAATATTTCTCCAGAAAACACCTTTTTTTTCTTTTTTTTTCTTTTGACAATTTACACAGCGCCATCTAGACCCAAATTAAGCCAGCTATAGCTTGTGTTATGGGTACTAAATAACTGATACAAATATATAGATATTTTTTTTCGTAAATGTATGTAACATATCAGTCAAGATGTTTTGTATTTACAAAAAAATATCTATATGTATGTATCAGTTATCTAGTACCCATAACACAAGCTTTAGCTAGCTTAACTTGTGTCTAGATGGCGCTGTGTGAATTGTCCTGAGATTACTATACTATATTATAGAAAACACCCAAACAGATACAAACAATCATTATGAATACAAATGTT